TGCCGCAGTCGCAGATGAAGATTCGAACCTAGAGCACTGCACGGCCGATATCGGCCTATATTGAAAACAGACATCTCACATGTCCGGCGAGCCAAGGCAAGCAGATGTGATTTCCTGGAACTCTGCCATCGCTGCCTGTGCAGCTTCAAGACCAAGAGCAAGACTGGTCCTAAGGGCTCGCGTCGGCAACGAGCTGCAGTTTTACGCAGAGCATTGTGTTTGTGTGTGTGTGTGTGTTGAGAGGTTGTTCAAGAAGATTCGCATCTTCAATTCCGGGTCCCAATGACATGTTTGACGGGTCCGCCACACAGAGCCTGCGGCTCACAAGAAAGCCTAGGGGACGCATGTTTGCTCAAAAGCTCAGACGGAAAGGAAAACCAAGCACCTTTGCCTAACTAGATATGTGGCCTTTGCTGCCGAGGCGCCGAAGCTGAAGACTTGTTCAGCAGGTGTGTGGACAGCAACGTCCACCCAGCCGCCCTCTTAGTTTGCCTGGAACACCTGGTGCTCCATAGTTCGCGTTTCTGATCAGCCGGGTCGCTGCAAGGACGGGATTCTGCTCACGACGCTGACGCGGGCTGTCGGCCAGAAGCCGAGAATCAGCCCCGCTCTGTCAGAACGGAGCTGCTGAGGTTCCGAGCGCCGTCGAGCTTTGTGCGCCCAATTGGAAAGCAGGAGCGAGCAAAAGCTTGCCAAGCTCGAGCATCCTTGCTTGTCTCATGCAGCTTTCCGCTCCTGATCACTTGCCTGCTTCGGCGTGGAGAGCATTTCTGAGCGGAATATTGTTCTGCAGGATTCAGCTGACGAACTTGTTGAACAGAATAATGGCATGTTCGCAACTGGCTTGTCATGCTGGATTCACAAACAGATTCTTGGTTTCCGGAATGGGTGGGGAAAGGCCGTTTGCTGTAGTAAGAAAAGGTAAGTTTGAATTTAACACAAGGAAACAAACAAATGTTGTGGCCGAGCATGTGGACGTTGCACTGATGGTGCTGCAATGGCTCTGGCAGTGTGCCCTGCGAGCAGCAGCAGGAGCAACATGGATGGGTTAAATGGTAAGTGCTTGCTGGTCAGAAAGACCATGTTACGCCTCGAATGGCGGTAGCATTTAACAGGAGTCCATTGCGGCTGCGACTCCAACTGGCAGCAGAATGTGATGATGGCATCGTTTGCAGGCCGGATGCATGTCAATGATTTCAGATGGCATGATTGCATTTGCACAATGCTGAACACATCGGCAGCACTCTTATTGAGAATATCCAGCTGTCATGCAGCGACCAAGCATTCTCGGGACCTTTACTATACGTGACCCCCTTTAGAGAAAATGCAGGGCGCGGTAAGTCATGGCCCTTTCCTTTTGATCCCCTCAAAGTGACCATAGTGAGCCAAAGCCGGGCACACGGTCAACGAAGCCGGCGGGCAAGGAAAGTGATCCTGGCGGTCCCGGCAGGCCATTGCATGATGGTGGTGCGCGTGCGCGTGCATAGCAGAGCTGTGATTTGTTTTATGGGTTCCAACCAACTCAAAAGTGGTGGGTTCTGAGTTCTTTTGGGAATTGCGCAATTGTTGATTGTGTTGCGGTACGCTGGTTTGGTGGCAACGTTTGGTGGCAACGTTTGCGTCAAACCATGTAGTCTTAGTGTCCAAGTGCCGTTCCAGCGGTCTTGAAATGTTCCTTAATGGAAGAATCTAACATTGAGAGCGTTTATGCGCAGTCAAGGTTCCTTTCCTCGAAGTGCTGCAAATGATTGAGTGGGAAGTATCATGACCTGAGGCTTCTGTCCGAGTTTTTGAAATCGGCTTCGCTTTACAGAATCAAGAACACTACAAGAACTAGTTCTTGAAAGGGCTTTGTTTTATGCCAGCAGTGCTTTTGCCGGTGCAGATTGCAGGCCTCAGCCTGGTGTCGGACCTGATGCATTACATCTATCGCTACTTTGCTGAAGCCGCTGGCTGCTTTCTATTGCAACTGGCTTTGAGCCACAAGAAGAAGTCAGCCAGCACCAAGCCTTTCTTGGCTACATGACTTATTCTTCGTGATGACTACACAAATGACAATATCACCCTTCATCAATTGAAAAGACAATTGTCCGACTTTCTGTGCGCCTTTCATCATGGTGAATTTTTGGACCCGTTTGCCATTTTGGCAAGGGGGCCCTGACTTCAGGTCGATTTCAGTGCTCAGTCATGTCCTTTTGCACTTGAGGTGTTCCCACAACTTCTCTTTTTCCTAGCTATTGGCCCGCCTTGAGGCCATTTCCGCCTGCAGCCGGTGAATCCACTGGCCATCTCGGTAGAAGGCTTCTGCTTGCTCCCAGCGCAACGCCTGGAGGACTGCGGAGGGGTCGGGTGAATCCATGGCGGGGTGACCCAATCGGCAGTGGGGGGAGGCAACCGGCATGTCCATTTCGACCTTCATTTTACCTTTTGGTATATGGCACAAACAAGGTAGCCGGCTGTCTTGCCGCCTTGCGAATATGCAATTGACATGTTGAACATTCCCTGCGTTTTACAGTGTATTCTGATTTGTCGTATTTCGGGGGCTTCTGGAAAAAAGTGCATGCCAAAACTAAAGCCCCGCGGACGTAAACCAGTGAGCGTGTGAAAGAAAACCGCCGTTTCCAAGTCACGAGCATGCACCAGTGAGCAAGAGACAAGCGTAGCTGATATACTCCAGAGCAAGCCATCAACACAACATGCTCCAAGAAAGTTTGTCTGCACTGAGACCTCGCCAACATGAGACACGTCGGGCGTGAGAAGTCCGCCGTGAGCTCATGTATGTAGAACGTGAACATATGTGCGCATGTAAGCCTGCAGCGCGTGGACGGGCACGTTAGCATATGTGGCACAATGTACGCAAGTAAGCATGCAGCGCGTGGACGGGCACGTTCACCTATGTGCATGTAACCATGCAGCGCGTGGACGGGCACGTTAACATATGTGCTACCATGTACGCAAGTAACCATGCAGCGCGAGGACGGGCACGTTAGCATATGTGCCAGCATGTACGACACAGGCAGCCATGCATCCCGTGGATGGCCATGGCGATGCGTAAAAATTGGTAAATTATGCCACAAATAGCAGTACAAGTGCGGGCAAAACGTACCTGTTGCCTGCACGAAATACGCGGAAAAACGGACCGAAACCTGCGTTTCGGGCTCATGAATGGCCAAAAAACAAACGGGAGTTTTTGCACGCAAACGCATGGAATGAATGCTGGCGTGGAAGGAAACGACTTGAAAAAAGGTTTTTGAGAGTCCGCGTCAAGAGAGGGGGAACAAGGACAACAAAAAAGTAGCCAACAATAGGGTTTGGGCGGCGGGTCAGCCGGCTGGCACAAACAACTGGTTGGGGGTGGGGGGGGCAAAAAACAGCAGGGTCCTCATGAAGTATGTGTTCAAACAGGCAGGTGGCTCAACCTTGGCAATTTGGATGGAGCGAAGCTTACAACTGATGGTTCATCCCGGCAGCTGCAACCCGCTCGTTACAATCCCACGGCTGAAGAAGTTTGTGTGAATGTGGTGAACAGCCGTGAAAATCCTTGGTTGTCAAGTGGACAGTTCTGTTGAACAGCCATGAAAATCACTTGGTTGTCAACTCAATAAGCTTTGTTCGGCTGCGCCGAAGCCACTGCAGGTGTTTTACCTATGCTTCAGGTCAGAAGCAGGGTGTGATCCTGTGACCTATGCGCACAGGACCAACAAAGACCACGGTGACATGGATGGAGTGGGTCACCTAATAACGAAAGAAGACCAACTAACAGCGCAAACATAATTGCGTAATAAAAAACAGCTCTTACAAGGCCTTACAAGAGTCCTTGCGCAACTAGGTGCATGTTTTGGTTCGCAATTAGGCGCTGCTTTTTTCGCAATTAGACCGCGCCCTCTAAGGTGATGGAAGGGG